TTCGCCCGTCTTACAATTCCATTTCTCTGTTCCTCCTTCGCCCTGCTGATCTATGTGTTGCAACAAGTTCGTTCCGTTGTGGGCTGCAACTTCTTGGCGTGTTTTCCTTTCGCATTAAGCCAACACTGAGTTTTGTTACTGAAATATGGGCGTCATTCTTTACGTAAAGTGCCAGCTCAATACGAAGAGAAATCCCTGGCACAACTTGCCCTCTTCCCCATCCGCTCACTTTATTTACTTTCACTTGTCATGGTAAATCTGCACAATTTCTTGGTTGGATATCGTTATTGTTGCCAGGCATCCACAGTGGTCGTGTCTGTGGCTGCGATTGTGGCCAAGGGGGTGCTGTGGGTGGCTAAATGGTTGTGCTGCTGCTTAGTGTCACAAATCTGAACGATTTGAGCTTTTTAATGCGATTTGCCCGGTTCCTCGCTGATTGATGCAGTCCTTGTCGTCGAGTGCATAGGAAAACCCGGATAAGAGTAAAACGGGGAACTCAAAATTTTTGGACAAATCTGTTGATTGCTAGCAAAGTGCTGAGACATCTGCTTTAAGATTAGAAAACTGCCATAATATTTGCTTTCGTTTACTTAAATTAGTTTAAAAGTTGCAAGTCACGCCGAAAAAGCCTCTTTTCTTGTATTTTCCTAAGAAATTGCTGTCATTCATTTAAAAGAGACAAATTAAGACCATATACGTTTACATAGAACAAATACAAATACATGTAAACATTTTTATACCCTTGCAGAGAGGGTATTATAATTTCAGTCAGAAGTTTGCAACGCAGTGAAGGAAAAATCTCCGACCCTATAAAGTATATATATTCTTGATCAGCATCACTAGGAGAGTCGATCTAGCCAGGTCAGTCTGTGCGTCCGTTTCTACGCAAACTAGTCTCTCAGTTTTAAAGCTATCTGCATGAAACTTTTCCAAAAGTTGTCTTTCTATTGCAGGTAGTATATAAGTCGGATCGAGCCGGACCGGATCGGAAAAATAAATAAAAAAAAAAAATTATAACTTTGGTGTTTTTTAATTTTTTTTTAGTTCTTCGAGATATAGTAATGGTTAACTATTTCAGAATTACGTTTTAAATTTCATCAAAATCGGACGACTATAGCATATAGCTCCCATTGGAACAATCGGAAATATAAATAGAAAAAAATTATAACTTTACTGTTTTTTAACTTTTTTTTAGTTCTTCGAGATATAGTAATGGTTAAATATTTCAGAATTACGGTTTAAATTTCATCAAAATCGGACGCTATATGATATAGCTCCCATAGAAATAATATAAATATATAAAATAACTCTAATAATTGGGCTGCAAATCATCATAGCATCAATGTTTTTAAACATATACGCAAGTAAATCATAATTTTAATGTTTTCAAAAATGTTTAATTCTTGCAATAGCTGCAAGGGTACATGAACTTCGGCTTGCCGAAGTTTGCTTTCTTTCTTGTTAAACTGTTTTTTCTCATAACCACTAGTTCATTAATTGTTCATTCAAACAAAAGATCAACTTTTAATTTATTGTGTTTTTGGTTACTTCGAATTTGATTCAAAGTAATTGTTCTCATGAACAGGTTTAATGCTCTGGACCAAATGGAATTGAGTCAGCAGCCGCAGGCTGAGTAAAGACACCTGTTCATTTACCAGCCACCTTTGCGTTTCTGCAATATGCAATATCAGTGCCAAAGCCCGGCGGTCTCCTTCCGTTTTATTCGCTGAGTACTTACACTTGGAAAATAATTTAACATGACAAGTCAATATCGATAAATTAACTATTTGTTATAAAACTGGTCTTATTATTGGTCTTCGATTTTACATTGCTAGAAAGAAATATCGCTTCTTAAATTTTTTATCCTGCATTTATAGCACTAGTTTACAGCCGAAATACGCCAAACCCGCTGATACAAAGATATTGTTAAAATTTGGCTTGTCATATAGCTGCTATAGGAACTATCAAATAATTAGGCTGCACATGATCATAGCTTCAATGTTTTTAAACATACACGCAACTCAATCATAATTTTAATGTTTTCAAGAACATTTAATTTTTGCAATAGCTGCAAGGGTATATGAACTTTGGGTTTGCTTCCTTTCTTGTTTTTTTTTTTAATTTTGTAAAGTAGTGTAATTAAGAATTAATAATATAATCAAATGCCCTGTTTTTTTTCAGTGGATGGCCCGTGCAAAAATTTTTCGCTTGATTTGCTGCACAGATGTTGCTTATGCTGTCGATGCAGTTATCATTGATGTTGCCTGCAGCCGTAAATGCGCCGCGCATGCTCAATGAAGTGGAAAAATCGACGAAGGCGACGACATATGCCATGAACTTGTTGCAGGTTGCAATTGTGACAGGTTGCGAGTTGCTGCTGTCGTTGCAATTGCTTTTGTCGTTGCAATTTTGTCCGTGTCTTTTGGGTACTTCAACTTCGCTCATCTGAACTTAAATGCTAACCGAATGATGTATGATTGCCGATGTTGTTGCTGCTGCAACTGCTCATTAATCATTGTTTTCGGGGGTGGCATGGGCAGCCCCCTTCGCCCTCAGGTCCTAATTGTGCATGCAGCATCGGAAGCAACAGTGCCGCTACATCATTTCGCTCTCATCACTGCCTTATTACATTTAATATCCTGCTCGAATGCCTTGGATGTTCACCACAAAACTGGCAAAAATTAACGCGTGGGGGGGGGGGACAGCGGCATTGTAATGAGCGAAGGGCAGGAAAGTGTTTGGTAACGGTACGTGGACCGAGACCCAGCCAGGGTCGTACATCAATGTCGGGATAAAGGAAGGAAGGCAAGTCAGAACACATTTGCACTGAAAAAGGAAAAAGTATTCTTCACTACTAAGGAGCATTGTTTTTATTTTTACCTCTTACTCGTAGACTAAAAAAAAGGTATGGTATTCGCTGAGGTATATTTTTTTTGATAAATTATAAGTAAGAGATTTGAGACATAACAATAATTAAGTAAATTAAAATATAATTAAGCTATTGTTACAACTTTAGCAATTAATTTTCAAAAAAAAATTTTATTTATATGAACGTAAAACCTTGTGGAGTTAGGCATTTATTGCAAGAGAACTTGCTAGCGTCCACATGGCTGTCACATGTGCCCAGACCACGACTTCATATGCGAGCTTGTACTGCCGTGGATACGCGGATCTTCGTTCTTCCCGTCATTCGGCCCCTTCGTCGACCTTTTCAATTGCCGTTGCTGCGTCGCGTGTCAACATAAAAAGCCGGCTACAATGTTGGAAAGTCAGTCAAGCGACGTCATTTCCGTTTGTTGTCGTCATTAAAATGCAAGCCAAGCCACGCTCCGCTGCACTTTGGCACTACTTCTGATGACGATGACGACTACAACTGCAACGGCAGTCGGGTAAAAACAACTTGCAGAACAACAATACGTAATGCTGAAATTCTATTAATTAGTTTGCCAAGCTGCCCATGTGATGACACTTTTGTAGCACTTAAAGAAATTTTCTGTGAAATGTGTAAACAAACTGACAGCCGGCTGACAGTCAGTGAAAGTGATGGAGAGGGATATAAAGGTGGGACTGGGCAAAGTGAGACATAAATAGTTTTGTTATGATGGTTCTGCATTTTTGTAGCTGTTTTGGTAATCGATGCCGTTGACAAGTTTGATTGTTGAGCATGGAAAAGAAACACGTGTCAGTTGGCCCGACCTCCCATGTTGCGCCGAGTAAAGGGTGCCAGTTTGCTGACAAGTGTAATGCGATAGGAAATTTGTTTGTCCAAACGTTAAGTTGAATACAAATTGCTTAGGAAGAAGATCTGGTTGTGGGAAGAATGGGGGCGCATGCAGGTCCAGAGGCAGAATCCTGGAGATCGAGGCCGGAAATTGAATTCTTGGCGGAGTGTGTGCATGCAACAATTTTTATAACGTTCAGTGTTTCCTCGTATTTCCATATCACATTGTCCGCACTCTTGCTTCTGATGTCATTTCAATGCCTTGATGCAAAAGTTTTGACAACATTTCCACTTTGTCATGCCCTTTTAATTTTCAACGTTTTCTCTACACTGAGAAAATCATTTATTTATTATTTTTTGTATAAGCATCTTAATCTAAATTGAATTGTCAAAAGGCACATATATATTGGCAAAAAAATTAATATGTTTATTATGTTTTTGAGTAAATATTTGTATGGGCATGTCCCATTCTATTCGCCCCCTATATTTGCTTCTGTGATTTTTTTTACTTTGTATGCGTTGCTGTTGGCGCTGCCCTTAGCCTTTTTGCTTTAGCTTCTGCTCGTATTATGACAAAGTCGAAAAGTTTTTATTGGTTACAAAGAAAGGCGTGAATGCAGCGCGAATAAAGGGGTCGGGACAGCCGGAAATGCGAGGAAAAAAGGAGGCTAGGCAATGATTTATTTGGCGCACGAAACGAAACACCAAAACGAAATGCAGCGCAACGAAATGAAGCCATCAAAAACGTTGACATCGTTACGCAAAAGCGGAAATGACAATGATGATGTGCGCCAAATAAAACTCTGGTCATACTCCCGCTCTGCACCAATCTTCGTCCTGTTTTCGAATGAAATTCAATGTGGCTGTGATCTGGTTGTGGGGTAGTGTGTCTGGATGTGCGGGAGCGATTCCTGTGTTAGCTGCCATTAAAAAGCGTAAAAATTAAAAAATCGAAAATTTCAATATCAACGGAAATCTAAGAAGCACAAAAAAAAAGGAATACAGGGCGAAGTTGGATAACTGCGCCAGCTGCTGCCCTGATTCGCTTATTGTAGGGTATTATGTATGACTATACCATGTCTAAACAAATCAATTCTAACTTTAAAATACAACTCGAAATATATGATTAGGTAGGTTATGAGATAACCTACTTATTCCCACCGTAGAATAGGATACAGATATTATATATTAACCATTCTCTCTTACCCATATAACCCTTTAATTACCACTCCATATCCGACTAACACATCTGTGTTTATTTCTCTGTTTGCATTCACAGGTAGCGACCATGATGTCCTGCCCCCTTCCCATGCAATTACCGATACCGATACCTTCAATACACAAAACAGAATTTGCACCGGTTCACATTGGAGTCAAGGTAAGTTAATCCAATCTTTCATTACATCATCCCCTCCAGCCATCTACTCTTCGGAAGTACTTCCTGCTATCCCTTTGCTATCCTTCTCTATTCCCTCCACTTGAACATTTGTTTGCTTACCATTATTAAATAGTAAATTAAGCCCTTAAATGTGAAAATCATCCAAATCTGCTGGAACCCGATGGCAAAATGTCAACAAGTGAGGCAAAATGCTAAATGTAAATGTTGCCAACTGAGCACGCATACTCGACTTACGCACACATGTCAAAGAGTCCGCTTTATTGTTGACATTATTGCAAAACATACACACATAGACCCGGCACAGATATTTACGTGAAATAATGTGCGGCACTAAATCAAATCGTGGTTGCCCCAAGCTGGCGTCCAGCCGATCTTCCGCCCTCATTTGACTGCGGCTTTATTACGATGTGATCACATTTTAATGATACCGAAATGCACTGCACATTGTTTCTGCTGAAGAATAATGATGTCAAGCAGCTTTCGGTGGGTGAAAGGGGAGGAAAAGTTTCAAACATTTTCACGGATTGGGTCACGTTTGATAAATGCTGCATCACATTTTTCTTGATTTTGTTTGGGTTCCTTCCTTTACTCTTCTGTTCCTTTTTTTTGTTTGTGACTCTTAAATGCCACACATAAATCTATTTTTGAATGAAAGCCACTCGCAGGATGCGTAGCGTATGCGCAATATTTCTTCTTGCCACGAGAGGTATATTTTTATACGTTCGTTTGTTTGCGGTTTGTTATCTAGAGAGGAAACTGTGCTTATTGTTTGCATAATGGACGCTCGTTAGCGGGGCTGCTGCCCTCGGAGGGTGCGAAAATCGGTTGCAATCGGGGGTAAGGAAAACATTCTCCCCAAAAGGAGGCTTTACCAATATAAATGCGCTTTTAATTTGTTTTCCAATCCTCTTCTCTCAGCTGTCTTTTTAATAAATGACAGTGCCTGCAGTGGCCTTTTTCATTCTGCTTCAATGGTTTTTTATGTGTATGGAAAATAAAATGGTTTTGCCCACAAACCCGAAATAAGCAAAAGTATGCACAAAGGATAATTTCTCTTTGTCCGGATTTTCTCTGCGGTTCCTATTTGGAATGCATGAAAATTGTCATACCAAATTAAACGAAAATTTCATGAAAATACACAAACATAAAATTTCCAAATAATTGAGCCGAGTAGTGAGAAGTATGTAACACTATACGAAAATCGGACCTCATTTACCCAGGTTGGAGCACTCTCATTATTTCCGGAAATCCAACTGCATGGCAATTAAAAAACAATCACAGAGTGTCCCTTTACTTGCATTCCTTCATTATCCATCAGCATCAGCTCAAAGGTTAACAAGCAGCCAATTAATCGTTATTTATGAAAACACAGAAAAAAGGAAAAATGCCACTGCAGCTTAACCGCTGACAGACATTCACAGCTATGTGCTAAACCCAAACCAACCGAGCTCAGTGCCGTTAATATCCTGATCTGCCGACGCGAGTAATTAAGGCAAATCGCAACTCGTAAAGTAGTCCACTGATAACCAGTTCATAAAAAGGCAACAAAAACTGTAGCGGCAAAAAGTATATTTAATAAAAAGGCGGCCGGTGAAAAAAATCGGCTGAAATTAAACGAGCTGCCAGGTCCCGCTGGCTGCTGCTGTTAAACCCAATTTCCTGCCCCGAGGTGCCAGTGGTGGAACTTACACTTGACCGCGCGGCATAAATCACGCGGGGTGGTGGGTCGGAAGGGGCTGGTTGGGTGGGTTAGGCTGGCCAGGGGCATCTTCGTTGCTCATAAAAAAGGCCTTTTAAAAATACCTTGTAAAGGTGAGGCTCGCAAAATAATATTTAATAACAAAGAAATACAGAAGACAATGAAAAAAGTATGGTTTTTATGGGGTAGAACATAAGGGTGGGGTTTTATTTTTGCAGATGGCGCTTTTTTAAAGAATTTAATTTAGTTTATAATGCTTCAATTGGTGATAAATGCGGGATGGCACTTTTATTTATCTGACCAGTTACATTTTAAATCATGCATATATTTCGTGGGGCAATTTAGAACACTAGAGGTTATAAAATTATTCCAATTTTGTGGGCCGGCCTACGAAAATACAAATTTTAAACCTTCGACATCATTTGGCAGGAAATATGTTTTGTATATTCTTGCAGTGAAGGAGACATCACTAGGGGAGTCAATCTAGCCATGTCCTTCTGTCCGTCCGTCCGTTTCTATGCAAACTAGTTTCTCAGTATTCTATATCAAATATGTAGCTCCCATGGGAAAAATTGGTATGCTATAAACAAAAACTAAAATGGATATGGATATAAGGTTAACTTTTCTATTTTTACTTTTTTTTTATTTCTTATGAATATTTTATATTTTTTATATTTTATATAAACTTCGGCTTGCTGAAGTTTTCCACCTTTCTTGTTTTTTCAAGTAACATTTAGGAGCTGCAACGACTTTCTAGAACTATTGAACATTTTAGCCATTTATCGTTCTTATCTCTTATCTGTTACGGATTAGAGCACATAAATAATCTTTGTTCACGTAACACGGTTCAAAGGCCTTCAAGCTTAAGGACTTCCGCCAGGCGCTTGTCCATCAGCCACTCAGGTGTGTTCAGCTATTCCCTTTGCCAGCTGGTAGGGTGATGATGAGGCCAGCACCTTCTATCACTCGCTTCATGCCGCTATCCTCCCCATTGCACCGTTAACTTAAAGACAACACTGGACTGAAACCGGTGACCGAGCCACCGAGCGACTGCTGCTGCAGTTGTATTCTGACTGTCATGGTCTTACACTGAAAAAAAGCGAGATAGAAAATTAAGGTCTAAACCTGCAAGTATCCTGTCTAAACAATATTATAGCCTGCATCATACTAAAATTTATTTATTGCAACATTTATTGCTGATATTTTTTCCAGAGTCTCACGAAATCGTTAAATACTTTTTAATATTTATTTTTCTGAGTGGTTTTTTTCTTATTCGACCGCCTTCATCTTTCCTCCTTCATCATCTCCTGCCTGTATACATTCGCATTTGTTTTTCTTATGCTTCTTATTAATAATTTGAGCTATGTTTTACTCTTTGACGACGACAACGCATTGTTTGCAGGTAATGTTTGTCTGTCTGAGAATCCAGCTGCCCGACGTTTCCTTACAAAGGATTGTGTCTCACTTACATTTTCGGGCGTTGTGTTAAGCACCCGTTTTTCACCACCCATCTTAAACCATCAGCTGGCACAGGTTGTTTTGTTTTTTATTTCCACTCAAATTGTTTTATTTGCTACATACACACCGAAGCAGAGGGAAGATCCCAGACGCTTGGCTTTATTACGGTGATTTTTCTTGAACGCATTCGAGAGCTGTCTACTCGCCTCTGCTTCCTCCCATTTTTCCAGCATACCTTTTGTAATTTTTATGATTTTTTTGGATGCCTTGCTCCAACATTTGATATGCGTTTTCCTCGCATTTTCTTTTTTTTATTATTGTAATTCATATAATGTAGAAAGCCGAGGGATATGCTCTTAGCTCCAGTAGTTCCTCTACATCCGTCGTCTCATTCCACTCAATATTTGCCTTTGTGCAATGCGTATTAAGCAAGAACAACAAAAGGTAGAAACCTTTTCAAGAAATTAAAAGGCAAACTCGGCAAAGGAGGGCAGTAAAATGACGAGTGGGTTGGGTGGAGAAAATCTCAAATCCATGACCGAAAATCCGTGGCGTGATGCACATAACCGCATATCAAAAGCTAAGAAGGATCAGCTAAGAAATACCCTGTTTGCAATTATTGGTATATATATTAAATATATATTGAATGTAAATAAGACTTATGTAAGTTCCATCAACTTAGGAATTATGATATTTTTGAATTTGCAATCTTCTTTTGTATAAGGGAATCAATAATTTTCTAAATTTATCTTTTTTTTAAGAAACCCAAACCCGACCAGAATTCCTTTTTTTAAGGAGTGTTTCCAGATATCTGTACACCCTTGTACGTTGTATACACTTTGCCTTAATCTACCAAGGGCATCTCCTTTTGTAGTCGGTTGCTGATGGTTTGATTCTTGGTTTGGCTGTTTTACTGTTTGGCTCCATAAAAAGCGTTAAAAGTTATAGTTATTTATTATGAATACGAAGTATCCAAGGGTATGGTGGAAGTGCGGATCTAAGGGACCTTGGCACATTAGGCATGCACGCATGGCCATCTTTTAAAATCAAAATTGCGTCGACCTATTACACCCGGTATAACAATGAAAAGCTTAAGGCAAAGGCTAATTATTCCCCCGTTTACGGCTGCAGGCAACGCAGAACAACCGTTAAACGAAAAGTTGTATTTTGTGAAGCTCGCTTTTGTGCGTGTCTAAACTATTCGGGCACGCAACTTGGAAGAAAAGAAGAGAACATTACAAGAGGGGTGCAAGGGTGACTAAGGCAGACAGTTAACAAGCTGCTTGTTGCTTATGGCGTAAGTCAATTTGGCTTGGAGCAAAGACAACACAAAAACTATTTGCTATAAGGGGTACAAGTTAAAGACGAAATGAAGAACAAAGCAAACACTTAGAAAAATAATAAGGAATGATTTTACTTGTTTCCTTTGCACCCAATAACTAAAGAGATTTTTATAAAACTATAGTAACATTCGATAACATTCTTGAAGCATCTTATTTTGAATCGATGATAAATTTACGTCCATTGTCTGGAAAATTAAAATGTCTTAAATAAGTGGAAAAGTACTTGGTCTAAAAGGAAATTTTAAATCTTAAAGGTGACTATTTTAAGTGCAGTATAATAGTATGCGAAGGCCATGTGTGTGGCAAACGAAAAGGGAAATACATTAATTTCAATTAAGGCGTTGCGAAACGCCCCATCGCTTCCTCAAGCAGGCGGGCGGCTACTTGTCCTTTCATTCGTGCTGCCCTGCGGCATCTTGAAGCTCATCGCTGCCCCGTTGTTCTGTTCTGTGATTCGATGTTCTTGTTCTTGTCAAGCG